CCGGTAACGCACTTGTAAAGCCTATGGTGTTTCACGTGTCTATGGGCGACACCGACTGCTTACCATCAGGTGATCCGTCTGCCCGTTTAGCGGCCGATCCCATAAAAAATGAAACCAATATCGATCCACATATTTTCGATTAATGGCGGTTATTTTAATTTCGACCTTGAAAGATTACTACATAGTTTTAGGACACATGCTTTATTGACTCACATCAGCCACAAATAAATCAGACAAACCAATAATTACTTTCTCCTTACAAGATCAAAGCACGGGTATCAATTATGCAATATTTGATATGGTGCGTATTGTGGAAAAACCGACACGCCTCTTATCTTCCATGGTTAGTCATACGAGATACGTAAAGTTATAAATATTACGTATTGTGACGAAGTTTCTTAGTCCTGATAAAAAGGAAAAACAAATCTTTTGGAGTACTTCGGCGATGTTTATTACTATTATTACTGTCAAACACCGCGAGGACATCGGTGACCGCAACCTATTGTTCTTTAATTGTGTCTATAATGACGGTACTCAAAGGGTTAAAGTAAAAATTCATTCATTGTCGCGGAGAACCTAACGGGTTACCGGGGCTCCGGCTCGAAGTGCAATGAAGTAGAAACGGGGTGGTTTTTAGTCAGTAAGAGACTGACACTCCCTCCCGCCTCGCCTAGGCGGGAGCAGTCGTTGGTTGATTTTCCCCCCTTAAAAAAAAGTCGTTCATTTTAAAGGAATTTTGCGCACTTCGTAACGCTTCCAACTTAATTCTTATGTTTTTCAGTTTACTCACGTAACTGTTTGACGAGGAACTCGACTAGTTTGCAGTTAGTAACCATTCTAGAGGCTAATATTCATCTCTGTTGGCCACGTGCTGCCGTCGTATCTATATTCGGATAATGAATTCTGTCATTAAAACTTGTTAGTTGGAACTGATTCTTAAAATAGTCATTAGTTTTAAAGTCGTTGAGTGTTAATTGATTTCAACTCTTGTTCTATTAATCACATCCTTTTTCAATAAAAGTAGCTCTTCTGACTGAATGTCCACGCATTAGCTAACATGTATGCATGTAGCATAATGGCAATGATTCTCATGATTCAGTAAATTTCCAACGAAAAGTAATAGAATTAAAACTATTTGTCAGCACCGAAGATCATTGGACCATGACTAGAACCGTGGTTGGCTACTAAAATATTAATAGCAGATGATATGCGCACGCGTCGCCTAGACTGCGTCTGATCGTGACGCAGCGCGTGGGCACAAGATAAATTGTTGTACTGACGACATTATGAACATTACTGAAACTTCACACGACAAGAAAATAATAGAAAAGTCTCATATCAAGGAATATTTAATAGCTATGTTTTGTTACCCGACTTTACCCTACTCCAGTATTCGTTTGTACGTTGATAGCATTTTTGCAGACGCTGAGCCGTCCTTGAAATTGTCGTAACAATTATGGCATTGACCGAAGTATATATTAATTTAAATTAATGTGTCACTAGTTTTACTGCGGTTTGCAGCTGAATTACTTAGTTATGCATAATTAAGTAAATTAAATTATTATGGTCTCTACACGCTAGTTACATTTAAATTACGAAGTGTAGCACTTAAAATATTTTCAGTTTCAATTTGTGTTTTTCAATGTTTTATTGTTTTCAGTAATTTTAAACTACCTACATCATTTTTTAATCTTACGTCTCAAAACCGGAAACATGGTCATTGTAATTTCGTACACTTTTAAAACTATTTTAATTTGATACTGAGCTGTCGACACCAGAATTTGTCTTCATTATTTAGAATGTCCGGAGACATGTGATTATTTATTTGTGTAACGTCATTTTGTTCCTCGCCAGACATTTTTATACTCGTCTCGAGTCAAGCAACTTGAGAATTCGACTACATATTACATTTTTTCTATAAATCATTCAGTAGGATCTGGTTCACATCATCACAAATCATGCAGGATTAATGCGGTGGAAATGAGAGCCCTGACTAGTGTGTGTGGAATAAAATTAAGTGATCGAATGAAAAATAGTGTTACTAGAGAAATGTGTGGATTGAAAGAATGTAGTGACAAGGATTTACAAGGGAATGTTACGATGGTTTGGTTTGGACATGTCGAAAGTATGGATGAAAATAGAGTAACGAAAGAACTATACAGAGCAGATATGAATGGGGCCGTCAGTAGAGGGCGCCCTAGACGGACATATAGTGACCAGATTGGTGATATATTAAAGAAAGGCCAAATTAAAAGTACCCTTAACCGGCGAGCATGCATGAAAAGATTGATGACTGTTGATGAAGCGAAAGAGGTATATAGGAAGCATAGCAATTGGCGTAGTCTCTGCCTACCCCCATGGGAGAAAGGCGTGAAGTTATGTATGTGTGCATGTATCATTCAGTACTGTCTGATGTCAATGCATTATTTGTCGATGACGATCACTATTTTATAATTACTTGACGCTCATGCACAGTCACTTTCTCAAACCGCACGGAAAATATTGGTTTTGACTCATTTACTTAAAATATATGGGTTGGTCACATACTCGTATTACTTATATGTGTGCATGCAGTCATTAGTTTACTCGTAGTATGCACACGTTGTTGCTTTATATGTGTTTAAAGTCTGAAGCATTATTATCGTATTATTGGTTATTGCCTTAATTGTTCTAGTCGACGTTTTAAATAAATTACATGCATGTTAACACCATGTTGAATCATTAATTAAATAATCTAATGATTTCTTATGAACTGTGTTTACATATGCGTTTAGTAGTTACTTAGAAAAATCAGTTGGTACAGGTGTGAGACCCGGAGCTGGGGACGACATAACGGGTTACCGGGTCTCCGGTCCAAGATAGGAGTAGGGACGGGTGGTTTTTAGGCAGTAAGAGTCTGACAGTCCCTGGCCTCAACCAAGACGGGAAGACTTATTGAATGAATTTTCCACCTTAAAAAAGATTTCATTGACTGGGAATGAATGCTTTAATATATTTGTAACTTCTTGCGTTTAGTTACGTGTCATAATTATGTGTTACTTTGTGAACATAATCGCTGCTGATAACATTAGTTTGGTTAATAAATTATTATTATTTAAACGTAATTGGGTGTAATAAACTTCTGTTGTCGGTTATGGTATAAGTTTTATGACTTGTTCGTGTATCGCATTAGACTAGACTAATAACTGTAATTGTAGCTGTTCGTAAATCATAGATAGTGGGTGCTTCGTATTTTATGTTTTACTCTTATTTTTATTTGAAAGCTCCTCGCAAAAATCAAAGGATACAAATCACATATTTTTTATAAGTATCACGCATGTGAATAGGTTGCTTATGGGACGATGTGCTTCATTGTAGACCGCATAATCGCTTACCACCCGGCGAGGTAGTGGTCAAACGGCGATCCATCAAAAATAGATAAAAAATATGGGTCCCTTGAAAAATTGTCATAAACTTGATAACTTAACATGCTTTTTTTAAGTTTCATCTAGAAACTATTGCTAGCTTTCAAGTTTTTTATGTTCCATTTATTTTTGCGAGTTGTAATATAGTAACTGTATATGTTATTCGTAAGTAGTTGTTTATTACATTTATTATTTTTCGGTTCATGGTTGTAGTACTTAAGTGCAGTCGATAACAATAATAAACGCTAATTAACATATTGTACATACTTAGTTAATATCATAAAATATTAATACACAAGATTTTGAAAACAGCCTTGCTGTTTACTGATTTGTTATTGATTGTACTCTCTGCTTAGTAGATAGTTTATATCAGATCGCAATCATAGATCTTCGGACAATAAATCTGTGCTTATTACCAACGACAATAGTAATTTCAATAAGAATACAATTTCTTCATGCTTCTAGGAATCTACTTCGATTATGTATCGATTGTAATTCAAGATATAATATTAAATTATCTTGTTATCTTCGTAAGTTAATTGTTTATTTCACTGCCTCATTGGCCGAGTGGTTGCAAGTGCGACTGCCGGGCAAGGGGCCTCGGGTTCGATACCCGGGTCGGGCAAAGTATTAAGGGGTCTAAAAAAACTCAGTCGTAGCACGGAGTCTGGAATTATGCCCGGTATATGGCAATAGGCTCACCTCCTATTATATGGGACTTATAACATAAATAGTGAAAAGTGGGTGTTACATTGCACAGTGGCATTAAATGCCACAATGTGCACCTCTGCCTACCCCTTTGGAGGTAAAAAGGCGTGATGTTAATTGTTTATTTGTATCTTATTTCTTTAAAACATAGTTTGTAATATGTATGTTTCTGTCTTTACAGAAAGCGCACTATGTGTAGGCGGTCCCCATAATGAGGAACAACTGAATATTAGTGATGTTTGTAAGTACATTTCATATTATTATCCTATACTTGGACCCTATTTTACTAGGACACCATTGTGGTACGATGACCAAACACGCAACCAATAAAATGTAGGTAGTGAATGAAGTGACTCACGGAGGATATCGCACCTTGTGTCAACTTGGTTGTGCACCCAAATACATAGGTCCCTATACCTACCTAACAACCCTTTGTTGTCTACCAAATCGACCTATACTGGTGTATTTGTTCTGGTGTTTCACTGTAGACACCACACCACTAGATATTGTTGTCAATACTCGATTTGATACTTTTTATGTCACAAAGCTCGTCCTAGATTTGATTCTCCGAAATATGTACATGATGTTGTGATGTTGTTCTGATGTTTGTGGCCGAATTGTTTTAAAGTACTTTTTTTATCGTACCTTTTTTTTTTAATTATTTTCCTCTAACATTCCAAACACAGTACCTATTCGTAGCATTTGACATAGATGCCGCTACAATACCCGTATCTTTTATGTGAGACCTTTATTCAGTTTTGGATGATGTCAACGATAGTTGTATCGCGTTTCTGGTGATAAAGTGATGGTATCTGTCGTGCAGTTGAGGCGATCACTTTGGCGGACCCGTCGTTCGGCGTGGGTGCAGCCGCCGGCATAGACGACAGCATGGCTCGCCGCGACCAGCCCTACGTGGAGATCGTCGAGCAGCCGGCCAGCAAGGCGCTCAGGTTAGTGCCACACACAAATATGGCCGCCTGCCAACTTCTATGTACCTACATATGGCCAAACGATATACTATTTTTAAACTCTAAACTTATTGTTGCTGTTAGAAAATGGTCTGTCTTGTGACTGGTTCAATTCCTGTAACAAGCGAAGTATATTAAAATTTGAGGATGAATATGTAAGTGCATAGTCAATGCCGCCCGCTCTACGCGCCGCCCGCCCTACGGCACTAGTAAACATAATAATTGAAACCAGGATATAGATGTGTATTATACGTCGATAATACATTATTATGTAAGTAAGTTTACAATATCAGGAAATTCAAAACTATTTTAAAATAATAGTAATCCTTTAATCTCTTTAATAAAGTTTTAAATGAGTAAACCGCAGCTCCATTAATATTCTCTGTTAATATTACGGTTATTGATAAGGTGTACTTAATCGTCGATAACAGTCAAAATGTGAATAAGAATAATGATTGTTTCATAAAATATTACAATTTTGATGTGTCCTGGACCTCACACTAGGAATTACCTGTGTAGTGAGGCTTTTTTTTAAACGTTGCCCCACACTAGAATTTTCTCCTGTGTCGTGGGTGCGGTTACAAACATACACACACGCACATGACACCCGGAACAACAATTTGTGGATCACACAGAGTTGTTCCGTGCGGGAATCGAACCCGCGACACGTTGCGCGGCAGCCAGTTGCCTAGCCACCGCACCAACCGTGCAGTCAAAGGCTCCCTAACAAACAGTACAAAAACATAATGCTTCATTATAAACAAGTAAAATGTACCCAGTTATCTTGTACCAAAAAGTGCAGTAGGTAACTTTTCTAAGCAACATCTGCTTTAGATGTTTTAAGGTCAATGATGAAGAAAATTTATCTTCAAGTTCGTGCCAAGTCAAAGTTTATCATACTGAATTCAATGATGATACTTACTTACAAATACACGATGACTGCACATTATATAGTGTTCTTATTTGTATGCTCAGTGCATATAAAAAAACTCTTTCTCTATGTCCGTATCGGTGTAAGTGACCCTAAGGCCGGGAGTTAATTGTATCGAAACGATAATTGTTTTTGCCGAACTTCTAAGAAAAGAGTCATAATTTTGAAGACTAAAAATTGCTCAATAGACCTCAGTACATTCGGAGCCGCGGAGAAACTAACGGGCTACCGGGGCTCCGGCTCGACGTGCAGGAGTAGGAACGCGGTGATTTTTAGTCAGTAAGAATCTGACACTCCCTCCCGCCTCACCCAGGCGGGAGAAGTCATGCAATGATTTTCCCCACTTAAATAAAAGACCCCAGTACATTCCCGGAAATGAACAGTGTTCAATTAGAATTAGATAGAGTGTAACACTCACTTTTTATCAGATTAGGACGAGCTTATGAAGTACCTACCATAGTTTTAGGCTTTGTACTAAGACTGAATAGCGTTTTTCTTTTACTCTTGAGAAATGTTTAATGTTTGTCACGCAGTTGTAGAATAGCTATGATTTTGCACTAGACTAGATAAATAAATACCTAAATACGAAGCGTCACTTAGCGACTAATGAAACAAGTTGGCAGTTGGCAGCGTATGATTGGGAACAGCTTGTCGTGTGCTCTGCGAATTTATTAGGTCATGCACCTCGACGCTACCTACATTCGAGACTGGTCTGTGTGAATATTCTCTCAAATATTCCACTATTTATCATTCTAAGGATGAATAAGTGCATTCATATTTGCAGTTCATCCTGGCTTTTTACTCAGTTGATACGTCCCGACTTTCCCAGTGAATTTTGTATTCTTAAATGCATATCTTCTTGTTATAACGAACACAAATTTAGTATTAGGCATTATCCCATTTAATGCAATCATTACATTACTTCTATTGTTGATAAGCAGTTCCTTAATCAATGCGAACGGATACCTAGGTCTCCTGTCGCGGAGAACCTAACGGGTTACCGGGGCTCCAACTCGATGTGCAGGAGAAGGAACGGGGTAGTTTTTAGTCAGTAAGAGTCTGACACTCACCCAGGCGGGAGCAGTTATTCGATGATTTTCCCCCCTTAAAAAAACCTAGATCTCTACACTCTGCAGTGTAACAAAAATAAAATATAGCTTGTGCATTGCCAATCCTGAAGTTTCGTATTTATTTTATAATTTTTCATTAAAAGTGTCCCGTACATTTCAACATTAAATTTTTTACCTCCTATACTAAGGTGAGATGGCATTCAAAGTCAAATCATTTATTTCAATTACACTCTAATTGATTCATTGGTCTGATTATAAGGCACAAAGTGTCAGTTTGTCGGTCAGTCCTCTAGTGAAGCTATTAGCTAAAACAACTATTTTGCTATAAAATAACATGTTGCAATATTTACAGTCGTACGTGATAAACTTGTCGATTTCCCTACCTAAGGTAACTTCAAACCTAAATAAGTTGCCTTGTCATTCAGAGTATCATTTACCTCATTGAGTGACCGTTCAATTCAGACAGTTGCTTCGACCTAAGGAATTTAAAGTTATGTGTAACTGGATATAATTGTTATAGTTTTAAGAAGGACTTACGGAATCATAATAAAATTATTTCAAAGTATAAACGAAAGAAAAATGCTCGCTACAATGTCTCCACTAAACTGTTGTTTAAAAACTATCGGTATCGTTACTTACCTATATGTTATGTATTGATGTTTTTACTCTGACACCAAAAATTAACTGAACGAGTCCAAAATCGGTAAAGGTACAGAGGTAGTTCAATAGTCTAGACTAGAATAACACATTAGTTAGCTACGAGTAACCCTCGTGGTATCCCGGAGGTTTAAGACCCGCCCGCTTTTCATGCAAGTACCAATGTAACTTTTCCGAGTTGTATGTACTTTCTAATATTATCTAGACACCACTGACAAACGGTGAAGGAAAACATAGTAAGGAAACGTGGGCTGTATATTTTCTAATTATAATTTTGAAATCGCCACAAGCCTTGAGCAAGCGTGGTGATTAATGCTCAAATCTTCTCCGTGAGAGAAGAGGATTTGGTCAGCAGTGGGCACCTATAGGCTGTTAATGTGATGTGAGTGACACTCATAAATTATGATATAAACGCGGAGCTGTTGGTAGTACCAGCATAGAAAAAGGGATATTCCAAAGACCAAATACGAAATAGTTCTTATACATATTCAGGAGGATTTATCCTGAAACAATGGTTTGGCAGAAGCTAATAAGTTTTAGCTCATCGGTGAGGTATTTGTCTTTACTACTCAATACAAAATAACCTGTTGCTAGGCTCGGGTAAAGGAAAACATTAACAAAGTTCATTCATCTATTTTTAGCTATTATTCTGATGAATCATACCGGTTTTTACAAACGCGTACCGTATCCTATCAATACTGATTGTGTTAGGGCGTCTCGAAATGATTATCGGGACATTATCTTCAATGTAGTACCTGTGTACTTCATCTGAAGCAGGTGCTCTTAATTTAGAACATAGATTATGCCACTACTGTTTGTTAATTAATCCCTTATGAGAAGAAATATACTTTGTTTTAATTAACTATTAAACAATTCTTTAAACAAGGGAAAACAAAAAAGAATACCTAATTTTTAATTTGTTTATTTATTAATCAAATATCGCAAATTTAGAGCTAGATTTTGTTCAAAATTTACAGTTTTCCTTTCATATACTGCAGCTTTCATTAACTTTTGGAATTAATCTAAAGAAACTTATTTCCGTATATTAGTTACCCGTACATACGTGCCCTAATTAATTAATCTTATCAATTGGCTATTACTTTAACAAGTTAAGGATAAACCCGCTAATCTCACGTGATAATATCACACGTCAAGTCGTGGCTTAATCATGTTATTTCTCGTAGTTTGGGCTCCCCTGGTTTATATTAGTACATTGAAACTTGGTTAAGTGGGACCTGGATAAGTGAGAAACCTCCATAACTGGAACTCATGCTAAGGTCCCAACACTTTGGCACTGAATTGCCTCTGTTAGCGGGACGAGGTAAACTCTATATCTGGGATTTGTTCTTTCGATTTATCATCATAGTTACCTCTATAACTGAGATAGTGAGTAAATTTTATATGCATAAACCTCTATAACTGAGATAACATTGTTTGTTTACTCATTCTTATTCTACCCACAAATTCCACACGTAATTCCAAGTCCACCTCTATTAATGGAACCCTCTGTAAATGAGACAGATATTTATTTATACCTGTATATCTGAGACACTGGGTAAGTGGAATACCTCTATAAGTGAAACGACATTGCAGGTCCCTTGATGTCTCACTTAACCAGGTTTCACTGTATTAGAATATAAGGTACATAAAATCGTTAATAATAATTCATAAGGATAATGCTTAACTGGTAAGGTATAATAAACCATTTTGGTAAACTTATCAGTACGGTCGGTTTTGCAGTTCATGCCAACTTACTGTCACTTCTTAGGTCATCGACAAACTGTCTGCAAAGTATGTAGTAGTGCTCCACGTGTCACTGTATAAAACTATTCACTAGATGTTTTATGAACACCAGTAGCCGTAGCCGTCATATTTACTTAAATATTATCACCATAATTAGTGAGAGTTTATGTTAGAAAATGATAGCAGTGCCCCAAATTCAGATACGTTTTAACATTTTGTTCTATCTTCACATCAACAGCTTCATTTCACTCCAATTCACTGTGTTGTCGGTTGACTGTTAGAGAATGCCTTAAGGCATGAAGTCCGCGATTCACTGTAATTTTGTGTATAGAAGAAAATTAATAAATAACCAAATCTGTTGATACTTACCGCCACCACGTCGCATAGCGTTCGATTCGATTCTTCAATCAAGGAAAAGGTAAAAAATAATCCCATTCCAAAGTCTGAAACCATAAACATAACTAAAATATGTAAATAAGACGTGAGTCATACGATATTTACATACATACACAGCAATCAGTTATTGTAAGATATTCTCAGAACTAATTACCGCAGATGGAAACTGCTAACTGAAGTTTGAG